CATAGATTTAACCACAACAGCAATAGCGGCTACCCCACCGCCAACTACTATGGTGCCACATTCCATTAGAAAACGCAAAGAGCCCTCAGACAGCCCTGCTCAGCATGACACTCAGCTGTCAAAGAGACGACGAAATGAAAAGAAACAAGGGCAAAGAGAAATAGCAGGCAGCCAGTACAGTAGATCAGGTGCCTCCCGTGCTAAGGATATAAAAAGCTATACCCCAATGACCCCACCATCGTTAACTGCTAATACAGTTAATGATTGGTCATCACCCTCGTCGTGGATGCGATCAAGCAATTATAACAATCGCAATCCCAACACACCGTCGTCAAATAGTGGTATAGCTAACGATGTCTCGTCGTCCTACTCGTGGACGCGATCAAGCAACTGTAATAATCGCAATCCCAACCAAATGCACAGAACGCTTATGCGTGGTCCAGCAACTAAATTGGAAACGATATGGGAATCAGTATGGGAATCTGAACCATACCTTGTGCCTCAAGCAAAAGATGACGAGGCAACTGCAATATCGAATCGAAATGGCGCGGCTGCTATCTATGTACGTTCTTCTCACGATACAGCAGCAACAGCCTTGTTATCAACAGTGGTATCATCGGCATCAGTTAAATCCACTGGTTCGCAACCTGACCACGTTATCCAGACTGATGCAGTAGAGGGCTCCACAGCTTTGATCAGCCCAAAACCCAGGCCCCATGAGTAGGAAATATCCGAAAGAGAAAGTAAGCATATGAGACATTATGCAACTGAGGATTGCGGCTCTAAACCTAAAACAGAAACATTAACAGCAACAGCAATAGCGGCAGCGGCAATCACGCAAACACTCACATCGATATCCTCACTTTTTATATCTGGATTCAAAGCAGCAAGAGAGTTCAAAGAGAAGCAATGTAACAGTATTTAGTCTTAAGCCTGCAAAGGTTTGTTTAATATATAGCCTTAAGCCTGCAAAGGTTTGATTTAATATTTATAATAAAACTATCTTTGTCTCTCCATTCGATGCTGAATGAGGCAGACTGACAGGGTTTCGGTTCATATCCTAAATCGTTCATACTCTAGCTTGAGTTTACTGCGGTGCTCTAGAGTGATAGGAGAGAGGAAGGTAAAGAAAGGAAATAAAAATAAAAAAAATACTCATAATATCTCCAGCAATTAAAAGCCGCCCTCGAATAGATGGATTTGCTGTCTTCATCAACGAACTGTGAAGCCCGTCTTTTGTGAAGTAGTACAGGGGGTCAAGGGAGTACATATCTTGTGCCCATCAGCGGTCCGATGAACTCAGGTATAGCTTGGCATAGTCCTTTATGAGAGCCTTGATCATGCTTCCTCAACCGGATCGGGATTAATTCAAGACTTAATTTTGGGAACTTTAATCTAGGAACCCATGTTCAGCAAGAAACAGCCATGGGAAGAGTAGTCCGAGCAAGCCTGGATCTTTGAACGTAATCTCCTCGCGGACAATTACATCCACACCGAGGACTTGTTCACCTATGTCGATATTCGTGGTGCTATTTAAGTCAAGGAGATCAAAGTTGTTTATATTATTGCTGCCGGGCGGAGGACTTCAATTAGGGCTCCGCTATGACTGTCATACAATGTTCTAACCTTATGAATAGAAATGGAAGCGCCCCTGAGGCGCAATCCCAAGCAGCATGTAATAACTGGGGCCAGATATTGAATACTTCGAGGGGACAGGTTCGAGCAAAGTGTGAAGACCAAATTCAATAAAGCTTTGTTGGGCCATTAAAATATCTGCTCCCGCACCTTCCTTTTCCCCTACTTGGTCGGTAACGGCTGGTGCTGCAAGTGAAGCCGGTTGGAGCACACGGTCGATCATGTACTGAACAAATAGATCAATGTTCACTGTCGAGTGACCCCATTAGAGCTAGGAAATATTATGCAGTTAATACTGGGATGGCTACTCGTACCCCCGCCCCTTCACCATCGCCACGATCCTTAGGCCGTCTCGGGTGGCGCAAGGAACGGGCCGCTCTCCCATTTTACAAGAGGGCGTTGAATCCCATATAGGTCGGCCAAGGGGTTCAAGTTCTGCTTGGGAAAGCTGTGCCAGATGAGAGATCGCTACAGTACGCATTTCCAAGTGTCTAGGTTTCTTGCAGACTTGAAAAAATAGCCCGACTTCATCTTCGATTATATTCGAGTTGTTACCTCTAAGATTCTAAGGTTGGTGCATCCCAATAGTGTCTCTGATATCTCCCCAAGCCCGAATACCCATACATAAACGAAAAATTAGTGATTGTGGATCTATGGGCCTTGATGAGGTTGAGGAGATCGTTCGAGATTGAAGAGCGTGTTGGTATATCATAACTGACGCGATTGAGGCGGGTACAGCCTTTCAATGACCTGCAATCCCCTGGTAGGTTAATAAATAAATGAAGCTCCTCGATGTGCTCCTTGTTGTTCTGTAGCGCTTCCCATGGGAACCCTGAATCATCTGCCACAAAGATGTGCTTCCATATGGATCCGACAAGTGTGTTATGGAGAGTCTGGGATGAGAATATAATTAATGACATAACGATAACTGTAATTCTAGACATCTTCTAGTGAACATACCAAGGCAATATAACCACGTGTGTGGCTGTGGAAGGTTGGATATTCCGACATTCGACATTAAATAAGTATAATGTGTCCAAATTTGGAATAATAAATGTGTCTATGGCGCTGTTCAAGTGGTTGGGAGTTGGGCGGTTGATACCTACATTGCTCATACCCAAGCGCTTAATTTCCTTGCATACTTGAAAAAATTGATCGACTTCATCTTCCTGTATAGGTATACCATTAACACTCAAGTCTTCAAGGTGAACACATTCAAGTAATGCGCCCATATATATCGTAAACTTGAATGGTGCAATTTAAGCTTGATGATTGTGGAATTGTGGGCCTCGATGAGATTGGGAAGATCACGAGAAGGAGTAAAATCCCAAAATAGCTTCACAAAGGAGATGGTGTATTTGAGACAATGGCGCCCTTGTAATGAGCAGTAATCCTTGATAGCTTTATATAAAACTCAAGTTCGTCGGTATATTTCTTATTGTGCCTCACCAGTAGGATATCCTAAATCTTCCTGAAAGATCTTTTTCCAGATGAATCTGACAAGTGTGTTGTGGAAAATCTTGGAGATACAACGATAATTAGCAATGCCGCTCTGAGGGAGGAAGCCACCAACAATTGAAATAATTCCCAGAAGACTCAAGGGATTCAATTGAGAGTTGAGAAGATGAAACGAGGTTGTGTGACGCGTTTCGGCGGCTTTGCCACTACATTTTTATTTCTGGCCAATAAGATGTGCAGCTCTTATTTAGAGCCTAATGGAATCTTCCTACCTTTTTGCTTGCCAGCTAAACTGTTTTATGTGTCTTCTCAGATGTTTAGTAGCTCCACCTTCCCCTTCTTTGGATCACAACAATAAATATCAGATTTTAGTACTAATGTTGGAAAATTTGCGGATTTTACCTCAGTGCATATTAGTATCATTTCCATCCCCGCCCCGAGCGCCTATTTTTTTTTGTTGAGAGCACATGGAAGTGATACTAGACATTCATAAACAAAGATGCAACTGATACTAACTTACTCGCACAAATCCCATGGAAAGTGATACTAAGATCTTCTTTCTTTGATACATGTACTAAAATATGGCCCACACAAATCCCATGCAAAATGAAGTTGAATATTTTATTGTCTTTGAAAAAAGCAGACACTACATGTTGATGCTAGCCAGTATGTTTCGCTTGCAATGCACGGAAGGCATGCCATTTCTAGATGCCTCGACCGAGTCTTCTGCTTAATCACTTCTTTCCTTCTTTCCACTTTTGCTACATAGGATTTGTGCGGAGCGTTTTTAGTATCAATGTATCTTTATTTGTGGATGCTTAGAATCAGTGTGTTTGTGGAAAAAAAAAAAAAAAAAAAAAAAAAAAACATTTCTGTTATTTTGGTACGCAGTACGGCTAGTATGTCATACTAGACACCTGATACTATCAATACGATCATATTATATCGTTCATTTTTTTGTTCGGGTATTGCTTTCGCCTACTAAAAACAAAGCATCAGTATATCTTCTATTCTTGGCCTCTTAGAGAATTGAACATTTCTTCGATTGATTTGCATTCTTCACCAAGTGGTGACTAAAAATAATCTGTTATTAACAACTTTAACAACTTTATTTGGAGTAATCAATTGTAACAAGCAGAGTTGTATCAACTGGATCCCAGCGGCCATTCTCATCCCATGTTTTCACAAGAATAGTTTTATATCATTTAATAATATGCCCTTCAAGCAAGTGGTATAGCTGCAGGAGACCCGGGCAAGAATTACTAAATAGAGTTTATTTTTTACAGTTTGGTAAAAACACCACATGAGTTATAAAAGCTGTTTTTATTATCATCTACACAATTGCAACCACATCGTCGTTTATTTGCGGAATAGTTAGAATTCAAGAGACCCATGGTTAGGAAATAGGACGACGATATCGTGCGATTGAAGGAACTCTGTCACTAAACGGCGCGGGCCTGGCTCGTTGCTTACAACACCGTACCAGTGCTTAATATTTGGCCAATTAGTTACGATCCATTCCGCATCCTCAAGCTGAATCTGTTGATGTTCATCGTATTGGAGCAATAACATACCCAGGCGCTTCAGATTGATTAGTTCATCCAGACCTGCTCTTAGACTCAAGTCCAGCGTTCGAACATCTCTAGATCCAAAGCCCTGCCCTGTCAAACCAAGACCCGTTAGTTGAGTCAGCTTGCCTAGCTGTCTAAACACAGCACGCTGCTTCTCCATGCCTTCTTCAGTCTCTGTATCGACATCAGATTCAAGCTGGATGGTCAAAGTGATGAGGCCAATACTGACCCACTCTGCTCCATCGACAATTTCTGTCACTGTAATCTTAGATCCCCGCAGGTGCTTCAGACGTGGGCAATTGGATAAGATCGCTTGAACAATGCCATTAGCCCTCTCACTTTGGCTATTGATTGTCAGCTGCTCAATTGTATCGCAGAGCCTCCGACACCCACTTTCCCGTACTATAAATCCATCCTTCAAAATCTCTCGTTCCTCTGCTAGCAATTCTCGCATAGAGAGTGGGCCGAAATCACAATTTAGAATATGTAGCTCTCTTAATCCAGTCATTTGTTTGAGAAGTGCCGCCATATCCTCGTCTCTTGTTTCCATGGTGAGGTATAGCTCTTGTGGATTTATCAGCATGCAGGGGTGGTGAAGGGATGCTGCCCTCTCAAAGTCAATATAATCCTGATCTCGCTCCAAAAAATTCTCCATATAAAAATCAGAGAGAGATACTAAGCGCAGTCCTGGACATCTCCTAATGAATATACCAAAGCAATGCGTTGCTGTGTACGGATGTGGAGGGTTGGATATTTCGACAAATTCAAAGAATAGTGTGGTCATATTTGGGAAAATGAATGCATCCGTGTCATCACTCAAAAAACCGAGAGGTAGCTCGATGCTTACGATGTACATCTCCAAGCGCTTGAGGCTCTTGCAGACTTGAGAGAAGAGATTAAATTCATCATTGCTTATCTTTGTGTCAATAATTACCAACGTCTCAAGATGGATACATTTCACTAGCGCCCCCCATATCTCTCGTAAACTTGAACCACAGAATGAAATCTTGGTGATGGTGGATCTGTGGGCCTTGATGAGATTGGAAAGATCATATAAGTCTGAAGAATGCCGAGATAGGCCAGAGTAGTTGATGTGTTGGAGGTGAGCACAACCTTGCAAAGATCTGTACTCCTTTGGGAAGCTGTACTGAAACACAAGCTCCTCAATATATTTCTTGTTGTTCTCCAATGCTTTCGTTGTAGGACACTGTAACTTCACGTTGATCTCTTTCCAGAGGAATTTGAAAAGCGTATCGTGAAAAGCCTTGGAGACACGAATACAACACAAGACATCTTTTCGATCTAGGAAGGTGCCGATGAGTGAAATGATCTCTGGCATCTTCAAAGGATTCAATTTGGGGTTGTCCATCATGCGAAGTGGATGATGGAGATGGAGTGATCAAACAGGTGATGGAGTAATTAAACAAATGATGGAGTGAGATCAATGTGATGAAACGCTCTCTATCCGACTGGAGTCGCTTTAATGACAATGGGATGCAAAATTGCTCAGCATTTGCAGGCCTGTGCGTGTGTGCTCAACTGATGGTGTTTACCAAAATTACATTCAGAATTTCGCACAAGACTGATGCATGATGCGGCATAAGAGGTGTCCAATCAGTAGCGGACGAGATCGATTCTGGCGTTATAATCCATACGTTCTTGCTGGAAAGCTTCTTGGCCATATTGTCTGGTATGACGGTATCTTGCTCCTACATTAAGCATATGTTACTAATCTCGTATTATCACCCCATTCAGTGGTCGCTTGCAATACACGCTCCTTTTCGGCCGTCGTTCGCCAGGTTCTACATCGGTTAACATCTGCATCAGATTTTGCATCAGCCGTCTCCACGGCTTGTATAGCCTCTGATGGCGGGAGTACTGAAAGAAATGCATGGTTCCCATAGAGCTTTCGTTGGCATTGTTGGAGGGTAATTTCCTGTAGACCTTGTAGTCAGAAGTTGAAAGGTTTAGTGCAGACTTTTTTTGAGTGCACAGGTACTTAAATAATTTTCTTTTTTTAAATCTTTGGTGATGGAAGCTGCAGGGGAGTGTATTTCGCAGGGGAATCGGAGGAATGGATGAGGTTATGATAAGGATCCCAGGACCATCCTATTCAGCACTTAACAACTACAGGTTCTTATTCATGGAGTCAGGAAGTAATCAAAGCCCATTAATCTATCCTTTTTCTATCGGAGAGCATAGGAGTGTTGTGAGTTGAGTGGCTCCCACGTTTGCCAGAACGCTATTTTTTTAATGTTGATAGTATTAGCACCACGATGATATTCTCTTTATAGGCACGGGTAACTTCAAAGGGAATAGAAGGTCGTACCAATTAGTTTATTAACTACAGAATAATAGCTACCACAACTAGGTCTCAAGCATTGTCCATTGCGAACCTTCCCTAACACAATCAAGATCATCGCTTTTATCGGTATCGAAGCTAGCTGTAAAAGATCCTGGCAAGCTTTTTCAAATAAATTACATTCCTTACAACTAGATAAGTTTGCAAGACGAATTATGAAGGGCACTTTTTATTTTATCTTCACCTTTGTAGCCATAGCTTCGCCATTAAGGAAGTTGATTTTCCTAAACGGTATCAAAACTATATTTATCATGAAGCAATAATTTCTTTATTATTCTAAACATTGATCCAAGGAGTGAATATTGTGAGATTGGAGTAAGTCAGTCACTAACTTGCGTGTGTCTAGCTCTCTGTTCACAACACCTCTAAGATATTTAATTTTCGGCCAATTATTTGCAATCCAAGTCGCATCCTCAAGTTGCATCTGTTGATACTTATCATGTTTGAATGATAACGTCCATAGACGTTTCAAGTTGACTAGTTCATCCAGACCTGCTCTTAATCTCAAGTCCAACGTCCGAATGTTTTCAAGCTGTGGGAACCACCCTGTTATATCAAGGATCTCCAGGTGAGCCAACTTGCCTAGCTGTCTAAACGCAATACGCTGCTTCGCCATGCCTTCTGCAGTCTCTGGATCAACATCAACCTCAAGCAGAATCCGCATTTCAGTCAGTCCAGCGCTAACCCATTCTGCTCCATCGACAATTTCAGTCAATCTGATTTCAGCCCCCGACAGGTTCTTCAGACGTGGACAGTTGGATAGGATCGCTTGAATCACGCCATCAGTTCTCTCAATCTTTCTATTACATTTAAGCGTTTCAACTGTGTCGCAGAGCCGCCAATCCCTTCTTTTCCGTACTATGCGCCCATCATCCGAAATCTCTTGCTCATCTGCTAGTAATTCCCGCATAGAGAGCTGTCCGAACTCACACCATGGAGCTTCTAGCCTTATGAGTTCTGTCATCTGTCTGAGAATTGCCGCCATATCCTCGTCTTTTATTTCCACACATGAAAAGGATAGATCCGATACATTTTTAAGTATGTAAGGATGATTAAGAAATGCTGCCCTGCAGAAATCAACATCTTTTTGCTCTATGGTCTCAGCGATCTCTTGAAAAGGATGAAAGCTTAATGATCTTAATCCTGGACACCTCCTTGCCAACATACCGAGGCAATACAACGATGTGCGCTGTGGTGGAGTGTTGGTTATTTGGACCTCATAAAAGCTTAGTGTATTTATATTTGGAAAAATGAATGTATCCGTATCATCGTCCAAGAAGTCGGCGGGTAGCTGAGAAATGGTTGTACCGACCATATCTAAGCAGCTAAGTTTCTTGCAGACTCGAAAGAAGAGTTCGACTTCACCACCACTTATTTTTGAATGCCAAATGCTTAGTTTCTTAAGATGGGCGCATTCTAGTAATGCTTCCCATATCTCTCGTAAATCCGAACAATCGAAATACAACTGGGTAATTGTGGAACTGTGGGCCTTGATGAGATTAGAGAGATCGCGCAGGTCTGAAGTATCCCGTAATAATCCCACAATGCAGCTGATGCACTTGAGGTGGCTACAGCCCTGCAGCGCTAGGTATTCCTTTGGAAAGCCAAAATGAAACTCGAGGTGTTCAATATATTCCTTGTTTTTCTGTAATGCTTCATCGTCAGTTGGGTACTTTGAATCACGAAGAATGATCCTTTTCCAGATGGTTTTGACAAGTGTATTGTGGAAAGTCTTGGAGATGCGGAGACAATGGACGATGTCACCTCGAGAGAGGAAATCACCAACGCGTGAAACAATTTCTGGGAGATCCAAGGGATTCAATTTGATGTTGCCCATCATGTCATTCTCTGAAGAGAGGAGAGTTGCTGATGAAGTGAGCTTATGAAACGCACTGGCCTTGTCAGAATTATTTTGTTTCTAGCCAATAAGATTTATTCTGTGAGCATTACATGAACGCAATAGTTAGCCTTGTAAAGTATTTTCATGCATATTCCGCGATCAAATGATCTCTATTTGGAGAGTCTTTTTTTTATAGTTCGATGTCGAGAAAACTAACGAAGACATGAGCGATGTTGATTTTTTTTTTTTTTTGCGGGAGAACAAAAAGTGAAAAAATACTCAGACTTCCCTGCGTCCTCCTGGTCACCCGAGTATGTGTACCTGTCTGAACACACATCCTCTGGGTGAACGAAGACACCAAGCAGCTGTTAGAGCGTATTCTGCTCCTCGACATTCCTCCCAAGGCCGCAATGTTGGAATGGCTACAGGGAACAAGAGGGGTCTTGATACAGGCTCTCTTTTGTGAAATTGGAGGGATCGCATGGTACATGGATATCGGGACAAAGTACCCTGCAGCCACAAGACAAAGATATAGCTTGATTCAAGCTCAAAGAAACGATTTCTATTAACGGCCCTGTTCTGGATCTACTCGCCTATGACGCAACGCAGACGAAGAAATAGCGGCAGTCTGATGTAGATGAAGAAAACCCCAGCCATAAATTGGAACTGTTTCAAGAATTCCCCAATACGACGTGTTCAAAGGCCGCCGGTGAAGATCTGGCAGATGAAGGCTACGTAAACAAAAACCGGAAGGGAATAAGAGATACCTTGTCACACAGATATGACCTTATTTTATTTTTTTTTAAACAAAAATAAGTAAACACGGAAAGCCATAGAACCCTTGCTGTTAAACGACTACCATTTGAAATGCTTAGGTTAAGCATGGGGACACTTCGCTATAGGGGCGCACGAATTTTACACCAGCGCCCGCTGTCCCCCAAGAGGTTATTGGTATAGGGACGATAACAAATGCTAAAATTGGCACATTTGGTTCCCTCTTTCCTGGTTCATTTTTTGGAAATATGATGAGTGCTCTCAAGAGGCGCGGTTTGTAGTCATGGTACGTATAACTACTTGACCTAATGGGATTATGAATATTGTGAACAATCTCCTTTATATTAAATTTGTTTTCAAGTGAGCTGATGAAAGAGGCAGCATACATTTGCTCATGCCCAACGTTAGTCGCCAGAATGTGTTTATGAACCCTTAAAAAATAAAGAAAAAGAAGCGGCCTTAATTTTCAAGCAAAGTACATTTGGGGGAAGTAATTTAGCGTGAGCAATGCATATCGAATCACCCCTAGCAGCCAACACATACAACTTTATGTATACCACATACCAACAGCCCCACTAGAGCCCTAGGCACTGTTCCTAGCTATATACATGTATTACTAATCAGCTTGCTACCAATAAGCTGACACAGTTTAGTCCATTGGCTTTGCTATTGATTGTCGCTACTAATCTTCTATTCCTATTTGAGGACATTTGCATTCACAATAATCACAGATCCATCACATTTTCAGACAAAAGACAAAGATCATTATATCTGATCTTGTCTTTTAATATTTATTGTTAATTGTTTTCTCTGCTGTGGTTTCCAAGCTGCATCTTGGCCCAAGAGTGGCAATGCCCTTGGTACGTGTGCATGGCTGGATATTTCCTAGTAGGCTTGGATTCTTTTGATGATGCTTTTTAGCATATCCTTTGATGGTGCCTTGGCTAACTGGCCTTGGTAACCTTGGTTGACTGGGCCTAGTGACCTAGCTTTGGGTTGGCTGCCCTTGGTTAGCTGCTTTTGATTGTCTGGGCTCTTTCAGGTTACCCTTGATGGATTTTGGCTTTGGTAGTCTTTGATTTCCTTGATTGCGGCAAATTGTGTTTGATTAATTGCGGCTGCCTTCGATTGCTTTGACTAAGGTTTTCTGTCTTTGATTTTGTTGAGGCAATCTCTGGCTAGTATGGCTGAGGCAACCTTCTACCGGCTTTGGGCCTTGGCTGGCTTTCAATGAGGTTTCTTTTGGTTGAGTGGAGTGAGCTTGTTGGCTTTTTTTTTTTTTTTTTTCTTTTTTTTTTTTTTGCGCTGACGTGGCTGCTATCTGCTGCTTGCTTTCTGGCTTCTGGCTTCTGCTTTTTGGTTTCTGGCTTCTGGCTTCTGCTTTTTGGTTTCTGGTTTTTGGTTTTTGACTTTTGGTTCCTGGCTTCTGGCTCCTGGCTTCTGGCTTCTGCTTTTTGGTGTCTG